TTTGTTCAAAATCGGAGTAAATCACTCTCCGAGTTTCTCCGAAATGAGAGTAAATCGTTCATATTTTTTTCACAAATTGGGAGTAAATTTGACCAAATTTTTTAAAAAGTGTGGAGGGTAAACCCCTCCCCCTCCGGTCGAACCGCCACTGGTTTTTTGATAGTTTTTTCAACAATATTTACAAGACAAAACAAAAATTTATTTATATCAAAACAGATATTGTTTATGAACTGTTGCGGTAAATTTTAATGGACATAATATATGAAATATTGAATTGAATCTTCGACGAAAATATTTACTGAATATATAATAAAATATTGGGTTGATTGCTGTTGATAATAGAGCAAATAACATGATGATAATAAAAAACAAACGATTATAGAATAGTGGATGATGTTGTTTAATTGTTGCATAAATAAAATTGATTTGTTGTGGCGAAAAACAGACAAAATACAATATGGCAATACATAGTAACATAATGATAGCCTTTTTTCTTGCTATATCAGCATCAGCATTGATTGTTGCCGTTGACCGACGTTGTGCAGTGACAGATGAGGGTACTACTGTTATTGGATACGATTTTTTACGTGATTTATTCAATGATGAATGATAATGGCAACGATTTTCATATCGGAGACGTCGAGATGGTTGTACACTGTTGTCTGTCAGACGATATGTAAATAATGACAATTTTATTGCTGAGCTATCCTGCAATTGGAAACTGGTAGATGTGGATGATTGACGACGTTTGGCTAATACTGATTGATTAACAATGAATATATTACGACAAATTATAAAGTAAAGAATTGCCTGTAGAATTGAAGGGAAAAAGCATCGTAGAATCATATAAAAAATATATGGGTGTTTCCATTAAGAACGTACCATCATTACATCGACTTGCGGCGCCAGCTGTGAGATACAGATCACTAGATGCAGTTTTGGACGCTGAATCCAATGGTGAAGACCGCAGGTCTCTAGCGTTGTCGAAAAACAAGTTAGAGGGAAAATACTTTTTCAGCGTAAAAGAGGTTTTCCCAGCCAAAAAAGGCCTCTATTGCAGATCCTTTTCGACCCCTTATCCATGAGCTAGAGCGTTCATTTTGGTCTCAAATGAAAGAACTCGACGAGATCTATCAAATTCCAATGAAAGAATTTATGGCCCATAGGCTTAAAGGATCT